GTTGACACTGTTTTGATGTACTCTCAAGGTTGAGATTTAAAGCAGTTCGCTGAGGATTTTCAGACAGAACTTGATCACATAAGCTGGTGGTACGATAAAGCTGGAGCATCTTTACTGTCCAATAAAACAGTGTCATTGTTTTTGTTGAATAACCATATTACAAACATACAAACATCAACTACCAGTCTGTTTTTGAAGATCATTGAGAAAACTCATACTTTTGAGTACCTAGGAGTGTGTTTTGGTTGGAGTCTTACTTTTTATGCTTGTGTAGACCATGTGATAATGAAAGCAAAAGTAGCTTTTACAGCGAAAAGGATAATACCTGCTACAAACTGTGCGGTGTCACCTCATACCCTTATACCAGACTCTGGGCCTTTCTGCAATGGAGTATGCTCTATGGATTCTGACTTTTAGCCGTAACACAGATAGACTAGATCAGATACAGAATGAGGCCATGCCCATCATACATGGATGCACATTGCACAAAGATTACAGCATGCGGGGCGATGCATTACTGCTTTGATCTTCCAACTATTAAGGTGAGAACAACAACCTACCTTGCACATGCATATCTGTGTCGCATATCACTCACTGCACTTGCCTATCTCTGAGTATATCATCCACTGCACTTGCATATCTGTGAGTCACATATCACCCACTGCACTTGCATATCTGTGAGTCACATATCACCCACTGCACTTGCATATCTGTGTAACATATCACCCACTGCACTTGCATATCTGTGAGTCACATATCACCCACTGCACTTGCATATCTGTGTAACATATCACCCACTGCACTTGCATATATGTGAGTCACATATCACCCACTGCACTTGCATATCTATGAGTCACATATCACCCACTGCACTTGCATATCTGCGTAACATATCACCCACTGCACTTGCATATATGTGAGTCACATATCACCCACTGCACTTGCATATCTGTGTAACATATCACCCACTGCACTTGCATATATGTGAGTCACATATCACCCACTGCACTTGCATATCTGTGAGTCACATATCACCCACTGCACTTGCATATCTGTGTAACATATCACCCACTGCACTTGCATATATGTGAGTCACATATCACCCACTGCACTTGCATATCTATGAGTCACATATCACCCACTGCACTTGCATATCTGCGTAACATATCACCCACTGCACTTGCATATCTGTGAGTCACATATCACCCACTGCACTTGCATATCTGTGTAACATATCACCCACTGCACTTGCATATATGTGAGTCACATATCACCCACTGCACTTGCATATCTGCGTAACATATCACCCACGGCACTTGCATATCTGTGTAACATATCACCCACTGCACTTGCATATCTATGAGTCACATATCACCCACTGCACTTGCATATCTATGAGTCACATATCACCCACTGCACTGGCATATCTATGAGTCACATATCACCCACTTCACTTGCATATCTATGAGTCACATATCACTCACTTCACTTGCATATCTGAGTCACATATCACTCACTGCACTTGCATATCTGTGAGTCACATATCACCCACTTCACTTGCATATCTGTGAGTTACATATCACCCACTGCACTTGCATATCTGTGTAACATATCACCCACTGCACTTGAATATCTATGAGTCACATATCACCCACTGCACTTGCATATCTATGAGTCACATATCACCCACTGCACTTGCATATCTATAAGTTACATATCATCCACTGCACTTGAATATCTATGAGTCGCATATCATTCACTGCACCTGCATATCTGTGAGTCACATATCACCCACTGCACTTGCATATCTGTGAGTCACATATCACCCACTGCACTTGCATATCTGTGAGTCACATATCACCCACTGCACTTGCATATCTGTGAGTCACATATCACCCACTGCACCTGCATATCTGAGTCACATATCACCCACTGCACCTGCATATCTGAGTCACATATCACCCACTGCACTTGCATATCTGTGAGTCACATATCACTCACTGCACTTGCATATCTGTGAGTCACATATCACCCACTGCACTTGCGAATGAGTCACATATCACTCACTACACTTGCATGTCTGTGAGTCACATATCACTCACTAAACTTGCATATCTATGAGTCACATATCACTCACTGCACTTGCATATCTGTGAGTCACATATCACTCACTGCACTTGCATATCTGTGAGTCATAAATCACTCACTGCACTTGCATATCTGTGAGTCATAAATCATCCACTGCACTTGCATATCTGTGAGTTACATATCACGGACTGCACATTGAGATTTGTAAGAAGTGTAGAATATTAAAGAGATGAAAATCTTGGATGGGTCGGGCCGAGGCCATTATTCAGCAGTTTGTTTACTTAAGGACATAGAACCTAGGATCGAGTGGGTTGGAGTCCCAGCAGAGTGGTGTACATCCTTTTCAGTCTGCATTAGACTGGACCTGAGAATGCAGACAACAAAACCATTAATGGTTGAAGCAAAGTCCAATCTTTGATTCTTGATAATTCTGCTGAAAGGTACAGGTTTTTACACCGATTGCTCTGATGTTCAACATTTTCAAAGATATGGGGAGAGAGGATGTTTGGCTCATGTCAATTACTGACACTCAGCAGGTTCTCAGGTGCACATTCTGTGTTATATGTTGTGTAGGAGAGCAGGAGAGAGGATGTTTGGATCCAGCAAGTTACTGATAGCAGGTTCTCAGGTACACAGTCAGTGTTGCATGTTGTGTTGGAGAGCAGTAGAGATGATGTGTGGCTCCTGTCAACGGGTTTTCACAATTATGGTAAAGAAAGACAGCAGTGTTTTTCCCCTTGACTACAAGTAATCTAACTATGGATGTGATGGCAGTGACAAAAGCAATGAGCTGGCTAGAGACAGATTTATTTCCCATGCACACTTTCTCCTTGATTCCATGAGCATGCTTAAGAAGATTGAGACAGAATGGGTTACAAGACAATGGGTGTGTGTCTGAAGAAATCTCCTCTGACAGGAATCAGTTTAATACATTTTAATGCCAGAACACTGTGGGGTAAAAGGGAATGAATGGATAGATTGGCTTGCTAGCAGGGCCACGGTAAGTGTAGGAAAAGCAATGGATTAGGCTAATGTTTTGCTGTCTGCGAGATGTTCTCAGTGCTCTCACCTCACGGAGACAGGAGAGTAGATGATTCAGGAAATGATGATGAACTGGCAACGTTGACAAGACTACAAGAACTTCATGTCAAAGGAGATGTTGACAGACATGAACACTAAACAGGGAGCCAAAGAAAAATAGTAAACCAAATTAGAACTGGTGTTATCAGCCACCATACATTGAGGGAGATAATAAAGACGGGATATGGGCATTTATGGACTTGTCGGATGTGCGATGGCGATGATCGGTTGATTAACCAACTTATCATAGCCATAAAGTTTACTGTTAAGTATTGTAGCCACACAAGTTACTGCCAGGTACCATAATCATACAATGTACTGCCAAGTACCATTGCCATATACGTTACTGCCCATTACCAAGACATACAAACTATTGCCAAGTACCATAGCCATACAAGTTATGGCCAGTTACCAAAGCCAAACTATCAAATGCCATAGCAATAGTAGTTACTGTTGGTACTATATATGTTGGTAATAAAGCAACAATTTATCTTATTGTATGTAAATCATCAAAGTTACTACTAGATGAGTATGTGAATAATACATGTTACTATCAATTGAATAAATATGACAGTCCTCCAAGTTACTGTCAGTTAAGTATGTAAGTGACACAAGTTACTGTCAGATGAGTATGTCAGTCACACAAGTTACTGTCAGGTGGGTATGTCAGTCACACAAGTTACTGTCAGATGGGTATGTCAGTCACACACGTTACTGTCAGATAAGTATGTCAGTCACCCAAGTTCCTGTCAGATAAGTATGTCAGTCACCGAAGTTACTGCCAGATAAGTATGTCAGTCACACAAGTTACTGTCAGATGAGTATGTCAGTTGCACAAGTTACTGTTAAATTAACATATCAGTCATACAAAGTTACTGTCAGATGAGTATGTCAATCGCACAAGTTACTGTCAGATAAGTATGTCAGTCGCACATGTTACTGTTAAATGCGCATATCAATCATACAAGTTACTGTCTAGTGAGTATATCAGTCACACAAGTTATTGTCAAATGAGTATATGAGTCGCACAAGATACTGTCAAATAAATATATATGTCATACAAGTTACTGTCAAATGAATATGTTAATGATATAAAGTTTAATATGTCATTCACACAAGGCGGCTCTGTCGAATAAGAATGTTAGTCATACAACTTACTTTCAAATGAATCTGGCAGTCTTACAAATTACTGTCTGGCCATACTAGTACTTCAGTACTTCTGTACACTCATCTGAAGCTTATTTGAGGCTTCAGTGAATTACTGACACTCAGCAGGTTCTCAGGTACATGTTCAGTGATATGTGTTGTGTTGGAGATCAGGAGAGAGGATGTTTGGCTCCTGTCAGTTACTGATACTCAGCAAGTTCTGAGGTGCGCATTCAGTGATATATGTTGTGTTGGAGAGCAGGAGAGAGGATGTTTGGCTCCAGCCAATTACTGACAGTGGGTTCTCAGGTACACATTCAGTGATATGTATTTTGTTGGAGAGCAGGAGAAAGAACTATTCTTTGCTTCTCTAATGGGCTCTGGTAGTACATTGGCAAAACCTTCCATTATGATTATATCTTATATGGGATCTTAGTATTTTGGCAAAGCCTTTCATTACCAAGGCCTTTTACTGATGAAGCCTTACAAAGAATTTATGGTAATACATTGACAAAGCCTTCAATTTAATTTCTTGTATAGACCCTGGCAATACATTGACAAAGAATTTCTTGTATATCCTAATACATTGGTGAAGCCTTCCATAGAATTTGTCATGTATCCATTATTTCAAACGTTAGTCTACAGTAATGGTACTTGAAGACCACGTCTGGAGCAACTGTCAGTCCTCACATATCAGTACTGTCCATGGTATCATAGATGTCCCCATCCTCCTCCCTCGGGTCGAACACTTCCACTCCACCCCATCCGCCATTGGCTTTAGAAGGTGTACCCTTTTTACCTGCTTGGACAGAAGGAATTGTTGGCAGCGGTCGGCTCTTATTAGGATGTTTAGTATGGGAACTAAAGTCCAGCATGGGTGATGGAGACAAAGACAATGCTGATGATTGTGGTGAAGGTAGAGGAGACACTGGTCTGGGTGGTAATGGCTGTTTCTGGCTAGAAGAAGGAGGAGTCAGCTTTGTCTGATTTCTGCTGATGCCATTAGAAATAGGGGGTTTTGGTGGTTGCTTCTTGACTCCCAAGGATGATCCCAAAGATGGTGCACTTATCTGAACTGGTTTGTTGGGCAACTGTGGCAGCTGCTTGTAACTCTTCATTTCTTTTACAGCTGGTTGAGTTTCATTTGATGTACCCAAATAAGCATTTGCAACATTTTTCTTGGGTAAGCCATTCACTGGAATGTGGTTGATTGTTGTTTGAGCAGCAACTGATGTTATGGGAGGTGGTGGAAGTGGCGGAGGAGGTGGAATAAAAGGTGATGTGGACGGAAAAGAATTTATGTTGTTGGTCAGGTCTGTGTCAGTAGCAGGAATTTTTGGGAGCTGCAAGTGAGACAATCCTTTAAGTTTAGGTGACTTTAAACCTCCCACAGAAGAGATTGGTGCTGGCACTATTGGTGTTGCTTTCGTTCTGGATGGTGGTGGAGGAGGTAGACGTCTAGATGGAGGTGGAGGTAGATTAAGATCATCATCTGGTATATCATTGTAGAGTGACTGTTGGAAGTTGTCATTCTGGGGTGGTGTTGTTCCATTCACTACCGAGTTTGCGGCTGATGTGAAGGCTGGTGTGTTTGCAGGTTTTGGCTGAAGGGGAAGGGCTCGTGTGGGTAAGCAAATAGTTAGCTCTTCTGTTGGTGATGGAGGCAGGTCTGCGGGAAGTGGTGGTGGTGGCGGGTGGTGAGCTGGTCGCTGGAATCCTAAGAAAGCATAGAACCATTATTGCATTTTTGGTTTCAGAACACATAACAGAACATGTGTGTGGCTCTGTGGCTGAAGTATTTTTGAATGCGTTTAACAATTTTGTGTAATAGTAAAAGTAAAGTACCCATTTTCACACCTCCAGTAGGGCTTAGTAGTCTCGAGGTATGGTGTCCACCTCGAGTGCTGGAGGTCCTGGGTTCAAGCCCTGGTGAAGGCTGTAATTTTTTTCACGTAGACTTCTAGTAATTTCCTTTGGTCTCTGGGTAGTAAGATCGGAAGCCCGTGGGTATTCTTGCGCACTTTAAAAAAATCCCTTAGCAGTAGGAAATCGAAAAGAGTAGCCTAATGGCGCTGTCCGGGCAGAAATGTTGAGTTGAAAATCTACCCAAAGTGTTTCAGGATCCTCGCCAGTGCAACGGAGTTTGTGCACTGCGCTGAGATTCTTCAGACTCAGGTTTGATTTAGAAATAGAACAGAGCACTTATGGGTTACTACCTTTGTGCCATGATGTTGATCCGTCGAATAAACATAAACACCTTCGCCGGCATGATACTGACCACATCACCCATCTAATGCCGATTGGTCTATAAAAATATACTAGCCCTATATGCCCTATATGCCTAAAGATGTGGAAAAGGTTCCTTTCCTTTTTTTAAAACACCTTCAGGCTTTTAGGGCTAGAACTGTATTTTATTGACAAATCAGCACTTAATGAGTGATGTGTCAGCTGGCTGCTTTTACTTCCCATTACTTTTGCCTGGTACCCATTTAAGACTTGGTCGACCTGGAAGCAAAGATTTTTTTCAAATGCCCAGCACTGTCCGGATTTGAACCCACGACCTTTAGATCTGAAGGTGAGTATCTAGCCGCTACATCACAGCGGGTTGCTCTTGAAATAATAAAAGACAGTTTGTGCATTCGTAATTTAAGAACAGATATGAAGGATATGATATTTGATATGATATGTTATGAAGACAACTTATCACAGACATCATAAGGAGACAGTCGGCACTCTTCCGAATACCGGTCCCAAATTATTCACTGTTAACAAAATCTTATTCAGGGCCTCAAGAAGTCATATATTTAGAACTATGGAATAGGAACACTACGAACTATTCTTCGTGTTATTATATAATTTCATTTAAACCAAACTCTTGAGTCTGCCGGGTGATAATACTTTTTTTAACCCTCTTAAAATTGCCGTTGGCACGTTATGCTGTGGTTTACAGCTAGGCTGCGATATATGCGCCTTTCGTCCCAATACATCCGATTTCAACACAGTCATAATTAGTTGCCTTTTACAACATGCTTTTTAGGTGGCAGTGGATCCATTCTTTTGTCCCCTCAAACATGTGGGCCTGGAACCCACAAGGGAAGAGAGGGTAATGTCAACAATGTAACTACTACTCCCCACTGCGATTTAATGCATCGAAAACTGCTCCTCCCCACGGCTCTGAAACACTGGATCAAAAACTGCTCCTCCCCACGGCTCTGAAACACTGGATCAAAAACTGCTCCTCCCCACGGCTCTGAAACACTGGATCGAAAACTACTCCTCCCCACGGCTCTGAAACACTGGATCAAAAACTGCTCCTCCCCACGGCTCTGAAACACTGGATCAAAAACTACTCCTCCCCACGGCTCTGAAACACTGGATCAAAAACTACTCCTCCCCACGGCTCTGAAACACTGGATCAAAAACTGCTCCTCCCCACGGCTCTGAAACACTGGATCAAAAACTGCTCCTCCCCACGGCTCTGAAACACTGGATCAAAAACTGCTCCTCCCCACGGCTCTGAAACACTGGATCAAAAACTGCTCCTCCCCACGGCTCTGAAACACTGGATCAAAAACTACTCCTCCCCACGGCTCTGAAACACTGGATCAAAAACTGCTCCTCCCCACGGCTCTGAAACACTGGATCAAAAACTACTCCTCCCCACGGCTCTGAAACACTGGATCAAAAACTGCTCCTCCCCACGGCTCTGAAACACTGGATCAAAAACTGCTCCTCCCCACGGCTCTGAAACACTGGATCAAAAACTGCTCCTCCCCACGGCAACGTCTAAACATTGCTATTCATCGAGCAAAAACGGCAGAAGTGATAGCTGATGATGATGGCCTAAATGTTTTACTACATAACCTCTTGATGCTCTCACATGGATGTTTTTCGCTGAGAATAATTTGGGACCGGTATTCGGAAGAGTGCCGAGACAGTCATCGTTTTTCGGCCACGTTATGAGAAGAGGGAAAATAGAACATGTTGTGACTACTGGAAAGATCTGTGGAAGGAGGGATAGAGGAAGACAACGAGAGAAGATTCTTGACAGTCTTGTTGCATAGCATGGAGCTGTACCGGCACACGAACTGATACATGCTGCAGGAGATCGTGGATTATGGAGAGGCATGATCGCCCACGCCAGTCGGCAAGGCACCTAATGATGATGATAATGAAGGAAAATGTGTGCGGCTCCGGCTGAAAGGTTAATTAATAAGTTTTACAGTTCTTGAAATAGTAAAGGACAGCTATTGCATTTGTATTTTAAAAGCAATTATGAAGGAAAGTGTATACAGCTCTGTAGCGTAGATGTTAGTGTATTGTGTTGTATAATTTCACACATATAGTACTAGCGTTCAATTCCTGTGGTGGAAGACTTATTTTAAAAAAAACTTGTGTATTTTTAGGAGTAGTACGATAATCACACCATATTGGTACCACACCACTTAGTATTTACATAAAGCAGTGGGTGCTGTGTAATCAACAAATCATACTTGAGACAGTATATAATATTGTATTTAATTGAGAGAAAATGCAATGCAAATGCATATATTAAATATCGTTTAAATACCATTATCCCCATTATAGCAGAGCACTGGCCCTAAACCAACTAACATTAACCCTTCCTATTTTTGCAGTCTTCTGAAACTGTTTATGTCCTCCCCATATTATTGATCTCTGCCTTCTTTTTTCCTGTTGGCCATTGGTTCAAATCCCTTTTTAAAAAGAAACTGATTTCTGGTTGACCGCGCATACAATTAGTAATTGAATGGTCGGCATGATTGATGGCGTGACTTGGAAGTAAAGCCTGGTGAAGCACATCTGTACTGTCTTCAAGGACAACATATTTTAAAAAAAATTCTAAATTTGGCCTGACTAAAAAAAAAAAAAAAAAAAGTACGTAATGTCCTTTGCCTGCTTTAACTGATGTTCATCAGTTTTAATGTTAGTGGTTTACCCATTTCTGGAGAAGGTCAGTCCTGTTTTGTCTACGTTGATCTTCATATCATTGCAGCGGGTGGAAGAGACGATCAGAGGTAATAGGCGAGTAACGGTAGACTCTATAGCAGCTGCAATAGGGTGTTGACATGGCTCAGCATGTAATATAATGTTTGATCGATTGAAGTTTGAAAGTGTGCTGAAGGTGGGTACCCACGAACTAACACAGAATGAACCGATTAGGCCTGTCCTTGCAGCATCTCTGTCGATACGCAGATGAAGGAGAAGTCATACTGAAGAGGATTATTATTGGGGACTAATCATAGGTGCATAACTACCAGCCCGAATCAAAGCGTGCTTCAGTGCAGTGGAAACATCTGTCTTCGCCTTGTTTTAAAAATGCTAAGTTACGCCATCAGCAGGGAAGGTTATGATGCCAGTGTTCTGGGATTGTCAAGTTGTGTTTTTAACCAATAAAAAAAAAAAAAAAAAGATGACAATGTGAATGCTGATTCATTCTGTAAAGTTCTATCGACGATTCATGATGCAATTCGAAGAAAACATAAAGGCCTGCTGGCTAGAGAAGTACTGCTCCTTCATGACAATGATAGACCACATGCAACTATGTAAAGTCAGGAGAAAATTAATCATCTAGGGTGGGAGCTTCTGTAACACCCACTTTACAGTCCCGACTTACCCCCTAGCGATTTCCACATTTTTGGTCCACTGAAAACTCACCTTGGTGGAAGACATTTCACGGATGACGCAGAAGTTGAATGTGAAGTGAAAATGTGGTTTGGAAAACAGAGCACACAGAATTCTGCAGCAGGTTTGGGAGGACTGATAAAATGATGGGACAAGTAAATCAATGTTGGTGGAAATTATGTTGAAAAATAAAAGGTCAGCGAATGTGTTAAAATTAACGGTTTTCAATTGTCTTTAGTGGGTTTTTTTCCCCCAACAACCGTTTGTGACTCACATATTGACTTCTCCTCGTGTGTGTGTAAAAAACGCAAACATATGTAGTAACTTAAACTGGACATTCACACATGAAACCAAACTGACTTTACCTTGGTTGCCGACCGTCTTACTAGGGTAGCTTTTGCTACACCTACTGTATGGCTCCGGTAGCGGAACAGTTGACAAGGGGCGAAACACAAATCGTTGTTGAAATTCTGTGAATGTAATAATGTGTATCTGCAGTTAAATTGTGAGAAACTACACATTAATGCAGCAATGTAAAATCCTAGCAGTAAATAATGAGGTAAGGAAATTATGCTGGCTTTGGATTAGACGCACTTTGAGAAAACTTGTTAATAATATAACTAAAATATCTTTGTAATAGAACCCACAAGGTCATAGGGAAAATATAAATAAATATACACAGAGGAAAAAAGGGGAGGGGAGGGGAGGACATGGGGTAAGCTGCGTGAGACAGATATGAAGAGAAGGACAAAAAGAAGACGACGGAGAAGAGGGAGAAGAAGACATCCTAGTTGGACAGTTGGCTGAGTATATTGAAGCCTGTTTAAGAACTATGGTTTCCCTGACGTCACAACCACGCAAGAAAGACAATCAAGACCCAACTGGCAACACGAGAAGAGATTTTTATCGTCGATTATCAGCATCCTCTCATGGAAATCGTGGCTATGTATTAGGCCTCAAATACTGGAAAGTCAAGTGGGTGCAATGACATTTAATTAAACTGTTCAAAACAATTAAAATGAATACATCACAGAAGTAATTAAGGAATATTTAGGAGGTCCGGCTCAAAGAAAACTCGGGCAGATTAATTGCTACTCTCTAGAGGCTGGAAGAGGTGAACAAAAAGAAAAGTAGGTCCTGTCGCATACTACCATGATGCATGCCTTGTATAGTCTTCTCACGCAGTCAAGATTCCAGTAGAGAAGACTGGACTTTAAAGGGGCATCTTAAGCATCGTGTTTTCAAGAGAGTGGAGTAGAACTAAATAGATTTTCAAAGAGCTCTCACTCCGACTCTGCAGTCACATATAAAAGCTATGAGGCGCAAGGAAGAGCGCTGCTCCACTTCACATCACGTCACGATATTCCGACTCCGATGATCAAAACAGAATTCGCCAAGTAGAATGTTGTCATTAACTGCGCAGAATAAGGGGAATTAAATGCTATGATAGAATCGCTGATGTTGAGCTTTGGGAGTGAACTAAACAAGTTCAAATGGACCAAGAGGTGAAGAAAAGACGCTGCTGCTGGAAAGGACACACGTTACAAAAAAGCAGAAAGCAATATAACTAGAATGTCTTTGCATTGAAACCCACAAGGGCAAAGAAGTAAAGGAAGACCCTACAACCACGCCGAGAAGGAAGCTAGAGAGTGACGTTAAAAAGATGGGGAGGGCATAAGGAAAGCTGCATGCAATAGCGAAGGATAGAACGACTTCACGTGAGTCGGTTGAGGGCCTCTGCTCCATTAGAGTGGAAAAAGGGGGGGGGGGGGGGGGGTAGAAGGCAGAATAAGAAAATAAGAATTTCGTATCAAATCGACCCGGATCCTAGGGAAGTGAACATAGAAAGCGGGCACTAGAAGACCGTGCTTCCATGCTTTAATCAAAATAATCACACAGCAGAAACGGGAAGCGTTGTAATTTCTGACCAAAACACTTCAGTATTTGTTATAAATGTGTCACAAACGCCTTTCAATTAGAAAATAAATCGTTTCTTTGAAGGCCCATTTTTCAGGGCTACCACTTGTATCAGTTTTAAAGGTTTCGGACAATATACTACAATATTTATTTGTGGCATTGTATGTGTGTATGGGTGTGTGTATGTGTGTGTATGTATGTATGTCTGTTTGTCTGTCTGTCTGCCTGTCTGCGTGTGCTTGCGTGTGTGTGTATGTGAATGTGTGTGTATGTATGTATGTATGTATGTATGTATGTATGTATGTATGTATGTATGTATGTATGTATGTATGTATGTATGTATGTATGTATGTATGTATGTATGTATGTATGTATGTATGTATGTATGTATGTGGTGTGGTAGTGTGGTAGTCTTAGTTTCAGCTTCATAGCAAACGGGTCACCCCATCTTTGCTCCGCTCCTGTGCCAACGAAAAACACACAGAATGTTTATCACAATCCCTTGTGGAAAGATTGACAGACTGCAGTTTCAGCATATCTAGCATACACTCGCAATAAAGCATACGGTAGCCATCCGAAGTGCTAATACAACAAACAGTCCGACATTAGAAATGCAGTTCATCATTGATGGTAGCAGAAGTCACCAAATGATTAGCAGTTGCCCACGCGATCAATTTTAAATCACATACGGGCACCACCAACATTGTGACGCCATGCATCGCGCCATTTTCTGAACCTACAATTCACACCACCACGTTGGTTACAGTGGAAAAAACATTTCAAATGAAATCCACAGCTCACAGTGTCACGCCATGCATTCAACTCAGAAGCTGGGCGACGAAACTATATCCAGTCTACAAATGGAGCAAAACTGCATCGGCCACCGTCCGGCAGAAGCAAAAAATTTGCCCCGACTCCAAACAGTTCACCCGCCTAGCGTCCATTTTACAATGAATAGCCTCCATACATATGTATGTATATATGTATGTATGTATGTATGTATGTATGTATGTATGTATGTATGTATGTATGTATGTATGTATGTATGTATGTATGTATGTATGGATGGATGGATGGATGGATGGATGGATGGATGGAGGATGGATGGATGGATGGATGTATTATGTATGTATGCTTGCATCAACAGTGAGCTGAGATTCTGGCGTGGAAATGTTAGCATTGGCACATTTGACAGCTGACTTGTGCTTTTACTTTGCGTATGCCAGTTTAACACTTCTGCTGAAACTGGATGTTTTTCAATAGTTTTTAGATAGGACAGTGAAGATTGTGTTATTTCCACTGGCACGCGAATGGAGCAGTGAAGTTGGAACCTGGAATAAAGACTAACGACTCATGGTATGCCTTCAATGACGTCATCATCATCGTCGTGTAGCAGGTCACTCTCATCGCTGTCTGCCTGAAAGAAACTCAGTCCCTCGCCAACTCTCCCGCCTCGTGCACTTTTATATTCAGTAAGTAAGTTATTTCCTTAACCTATCTGTTGGCCCCTGCCTTTGCTTCCTGGTACCATGCCTTTCGCTGTTATTTCTTCCAGTCTGTCATGGAGCATTATATGACCGAAATATTTGAGCTTCTGCAACAAGATGCTGTTTATTAGTCAATTCTCCTTGATGTTCAGATCATTTATAATGTCGTCATTTGTTCTCTTCTTTGTCCAAAGTATTCTGACAATCTTTGTATATTATGTATGTATGTAAGTTTTACCCCAAGAGGGCATCACACAACGATAAACGCTCGGTGACACAAAGTGCCACCATGTGGATGAGGATCACCCGTAGAGAGGTCCTGGAAACCCCATTCAGTCGTTAGGCCATGTTTCAGGCCCGGCTATATTTGGGGCTCCCGGCAAAATAACTAAAAATTGTAACCCACAAGGGGATGATGACAATGGCCCTCCTTTCTACAGCATTTCAGCCCAAAAACCTTTCTTTTCTCCCTTGAGGATATCTAGTGGTAAAAGTTAGAGAAAGGTGCATTGCCTGTCGTTGGGTTTAATAACAGAGAACAGAAAAATCATTTTGAAATTACCTTTATCGACGCCAGAATCGAGGGAACATTTCCTCTCCGGTATCGGCGGGGGTAGATCCTCAGAGTTGTCGATGCTGAAATGTCGAGTCGGGACCGGTGGTGGGCTGTCAGAGCTCGTTCCCTTGAAGTTGAGTTCTGTGGAAAAGATAAACATAAGTCAAGACAAGTGCACTGCAACAGATAAATCGAGTAAGGAAAGGGGGTTTTTGACTTTGCATACTTTTCCAGGGATCGGGTGGGGGTCTCCAATGGCTTAAGCCTTGTTTATGTTCTAATCGTTGTTCATGTAATTTTTTATTTATTTATTAGCATATATATATATATATCCTAACCTGCACAGTCCATGGCGACTGCGCTAACCATGCGGGGAAATATCCCGAGGCTCCAGAACCTAATATCGATTATAGCCTTAAAATTAGGTACATAAATTCAATAATGAAGTGGTTTTTTTTAAAAGTAAAGTAAATTAAGAATCCTCTTCGTTTCCTAGCATGCATCTGGCATATGGTATTACCGCAGCTCACTGTGGCCTTCCTGTATCATGCGGCTTCGAGGCGAAGTATTAACTACGGGAGAGGGAGCTGCGTGTCTGGAGGCATGGTGTTCGCCTCGAGTACTAGAGGTTCCGGGTTCAATCCCTAGTAAGGGCTGTCATTTTTTTGACGTGGACTGGGACTTCTAGTAAATCTCCGTGTAGTGATATTGGACGCCCGTGTGTATTGTTACGAACGTATAAAATCGCTTGACAGTTGGAAATCGCAAATAGTAGCCTGACGGCGCTGCCAGATTATTTATGTGTCTGTGATATGTTTATGCGCCCCCCCCCCCTCCCCACCCCACCCTTCTAACTTTCCTCTTCGTTAAGCCTTTTAGGAATAGTTTAACTGATTAATTTCTGATTACGATACTTATGTCTATTGGCAGCTGAGTCAGAGGACTGGACCAATTTTTTATTTAATGAACCTATGAAAGGATCCTTTGTAGACCAGCGGTACATCAGCCATATAGTAATAGAGGTATATTCTCTGTAGACCAGCGGTACATCAGCCATATAGTTATAGAGGTATATTCTTTGTAGACCAGCGGTACATCAGCCATATAGTAATAGAGGTATATTCTTTGTAGACCAGCGGTACATCAGCCATATAGTAATAGAGGTATATTCTTTGTAGGCCAGCGGTACACCAGCCATACACTAATAAAGGTATATTCTTTGTAGGCCAGCGGTACATCAGCCATATAGTAATAGAGGTATATTCTTTGTAGGCCAGCGGTACATCAGCCATATAGTAATAGAGGTATATTCTTTGTAGGCCAGTGGTACATCAGCCATATAGTAATAGAAGTATATTCTTTGTAGGCCAGCGGTACATCAACCATACCGTAATAGAGGTATATTCTTTATAGATCAGAGGTTCCCAACTATTCTAACTCAATGACCCCCTTTTTATAATTAATTTCTTTGGCGGAGCCCCGCTAAACCACAAATCCCTGTTTTAAAAAT